TTACATATATAATAATGATCTTTCTGTAAACCTTATATATTCATTATGGCTGATGATGATGTTTGAAACATCGAAACATGTTCCGAAAACTGAAAAGTGTTGTTGTGTTTTTAAAAATGATTTCACTTTAATTTTAATTTCTTTCTTTCAATTAGATCATGAAATTTCCACAGCAGTCCCTGGAATCAGCCAAACATTTCATCCTTCTGAGAATTTCAAAGAAAGGGTCAAGCTTTTTGAAATCGTTGATTCCAACATCCCAAATTCAGATGTTGCTCCTTCTGTACATCTACAGCCATATGACTGGAGACTTCCTTTGGTTCCTTGTTCCTTTGGTTATCTTCTACATCTCTTTCCTTTCTCTGGTTGTGTTTTCACTTCAAATGTTTTATGGAAGAGAAGCTTTGAGGCAGCTGAGAAGTGTTTCACAACTCATGAAAAAGTAGGCCTCTGTGTTTACAGTACACTCTACATTAAGTGTTATTTGATATGCCATTTTTCTTGGATTGGACGGTGCATTTTTTTTTATCATGACCTCCAACAAAAATATCATAATTATACCCATCTTCTGCCCTTCATGTTCTGAATCATCTCTTGCTCCCCTAGGCTGGATTTTCAGGCTCCGCTGTTTGGGAAACGAGCCTGTGCTCAAAGACCGGATGCAAGAGAGTGGTGGAAATCAAGCCTATTGCTCCCTCAATTCTCACAATAATTTGACTGAATGTAAACTCACATCAGACTTGATCAGGTGGAAACCTCTTGTAAGCCATACCATTTTTACTCTTTTTGCTTTTGACAGATTTGATCCAAGGCTTGATGGGCAAGAAGCTGAAAGGAAATTCATGTGGAAATCTGCAACTCCTTATGTTTCATTCTTCATTGTTTTGTTGGTGACAGTGGCTGTGTTGCCACTTTGTGATAAACAGTGGATACCATGTTCTGAAATGTCTTTGGTGGCTCTATTTTTCACAGGTAATGTTTTTGTTAATATTCATTTATTACAGCAGAACTTTACTAGTTGAACGGTACTCAACTGGGACATTTGAGACCAAATAAACTCCATTTGACCCTCTCGTTCCAAAGAGTGACCTGACAGCAGTGGCTCATAATGTCATACACCGAATGCAAATATGGCGGACCACCTGGTCAGCACCCTGGACTAGTTGCTTGAAAGCGAGGCAACTGAGGCATCAGTGCTTGGTTTTGACAAGACACCCCAGAAAGGTCTTGCTTTGTCGTCGATCTGGTCAATGTTTGATCTTCTCAGATTTGCCTTTTCAGTGAAAAAAAAGCACACACCCATTTTATATGACACATGATTACCTGCCCCTCTCAAACACCCACACAAACACTCTTTCTTGATGCAAGCCTCTAGTAAGCCTCTAGAAAACCTTCCAGTAAGGTTGGAGTCTTTTTTCATAATTCCATAACCAGCACAGACCCGTTTTGTAAGAGTGGGTGGCTATCCTTCAATTCCACCCCAACCAGGAGGAGTCCAGGGGCTACTCTCTGTTGGCTCTCTCTCGTTTGCCAAATCCAGCTTTGGTAGATCTGCCAGTAGCTTGCAGCAGGCACTCAAGCTCTGCCAGCCCATGGAAGAGAACTGGTAATTCATTGTTTCTGTTTTTATTAACACATCTCATGCATGTTGCAGTTTCTTCTTTCAGAGGATTACCTTCAAAATATGATGACTATGCGTTGTACACAATTCTACTCAAACTATTGACCACTGTGTTACGCAGCTTAGAAAATGTACGAGGCTTGGGAATCCTATGCTATTCACTTTTTAGTGGTAGGTGCCTGATGTACAATGTTTGCTTGTCAGTCTTGAAATACTTTGATCTTCTTAACTGTCTCCCTTTTGTCCTGCAGTACCCCTCCCCTATGGACTGGAATTAGACATCAGCCTCCCATCCCTTCTTCACGTGCTCATCCTCGTTCTACTAATCATCATGGCCGGCCGTCACTCTTGGCGCGGCATATATAAAGTACTTATCCCTCATTTAGTCTGCTTGCTGTGGTGGCAGTTGTTCACTGAGCTCTTCCACTTCACCTCCTGGAGCAGTCTGCTACGTGCCACGGTGGGGTGGGTCATATTTATCACCATACTGCCCTTGTTGTTTTTCTTTACCATCGGCCTCGCTCTGGCGTATTTGTTGCAGTGGTTTATAACGCTTGATGTTGCCCTGAAGCTCGCTGTCACAGCACTCATTGTTGCTGTGTCTTCGGCACTATTCTATTACTCCAAGCTGGAAATTCCTCATGGAGAGAAACTGGAGCGAAAAAAGAAGCCGCTCATGATTGCCGCGGGCCTGGTGGTGTTCTGCCTTTTGGTCCCTATCATTTACGTCAATTTTGTCCCCTCCATATATGGATCCCACAAGCCCCTGTCGTGGGAAGAGTATTATGAAACATGTGGGAGCAAGGCGAGTGAAGGTGATGGTGTAAACATTGCAGCGGTGCAGATAAAGTGCAGTGAATATTATGGTGAATCGGTCAACTGGACTGGGACTGTAGCTTATGTCAAGTTAACCTCTGTGGAAAATCGTTTTCGACACCTGGTGACATTCCTGCCTGTGTTTCTAAGACCCACTATCAAGTGTCTCCTCGGTGGAGCTGAGGAAAGCAGTCTGACTGGCAGGTGAGTAAGAGACAGGATATCAATGAGCGCCTATCAAATAAATTCGTTGTTTTGGAAGCGTAGTGTCATGGCCACAGACAAGTATGCAATTTCTACAACTACTTTTGATCGTCTTCAATACCGGTACTTTTGCGGTGCTAGATAGTAATGATGATCTTGAGGAACATGAGGACTTACCAGCAGATGATCTTTTGCTGTCGTATATTGCGCGTCCAAGTGAGAACAAACCGGCTGTAGACAACATGAAATATGGCAGGGACAGCTGGGAAGGGGTACAGTATAGGGAAATCTTTGTAGATATTGAAGTTTAGTTTCCTATTCTTACTCAGATATGTTCCATGCGCTCTTAAGGCTGTCGCCGTCAAGGTTGTGTTTGCACTGTTTGCACTGTGTTAGCTCAGTTTGTTTTCGGCATTAAAACGTAACTTTTGTTTCCCTGTCTGGACAGCATCAACGGGAAGCAAAACAGAAACTTTATGAATTAAACAAACTGACAACATTCCCAAATCACTCAGTTACCTACAGCTGGACACATGTACATGTATGCATAAAAGATCAACTCTTTTTCTCTCCCAGGGTTCCAAAAGAAAGCACTTGGTTGCCAAGACCAAAAGGACCGTGTCACTTGAGAACTTTCGACAGATACACTTTTTCTGTTGGGGTGAACATGGCGGATCCGGCGTCGCAGAACAGCGAAGTGATTCAACTGGCTGTTACGCACCGTTTCTACCTCACAATGATTACATTACGAAAGGATACACAGGTTCAAGGACTATTCTTGCATTTCGTACTTATTTTTATCCCGTAAAATGCTAAATTGAAACAGCACTTCCTTTCTATAGCACCTTCAGTAATGGACCTTAATGAGCATGCAATCGAAATTCTTATGTTGCATTTTTCAAAAGCTTAAGGGAACTTTTAGATTGTATGAAAAACGAGATCACCTCTCCTAGTTTTTTCCCATTTTAGTAAACTTATCCAAGTAGTGGAGGGGAGGGGGAGGGGGGTCAGAAGCCCCCGCTTGCCGTACCTTTATCTCGCGACTCCTGCCCTTGTGTGTCCTGCTCCCCTCGCCTGTAAATTAGGAGACTTATCCGCATCCAAGCTATTCAGTTGCGCAATTTAACTTAGAGAGTAGGCCCGTGATTTAGCCCAAGCGCGAATTGTCATTTGCTCAGAAGTCTGTTTTTTGAAAGTATTCTAACGTTTTGCATTTCTCTCACACTTCCCGCCCTCTTAGAACTCCCGCTTCCAGCCCATTCCTGTCCGGCCCCCTATTTTCCCGGCCTCCCGGCCATTGTTCCCCCTTCCACCAAAAAGTACAATCCCCAAACAGCCTGAAATGTCCTTGCCATTTAAAACCGATTGTCCATTTTGCTGACATTGTAGAAAATTATTTTATTTGCCTAAAATAGACCAGAGCAAGTTTCTTCCCCGTGAACATTTAATATACTCCTGTGGGATACTTTCCTGATTCTGCTGTAATCGTGTTATTTCAGATCACATTTCAAGGTCGCCTAGAAAGTGGTCCACCTTACGTTAGCGTCACTGCCAAGAAGCTCTTTATCGATGGTGTTAAGGTCAAATCGCGGATTGGACTTGGACGTGACGACATATTTGAAGGATTGCGTGACTCTGGCAGATTCATGGCCCACTTCTTTATGACTCCTTTGGTCATTGACAAAGAAGACGAGGAAGATGATTAAAGAGTTGCTATGAAACTGAATTCAGAGACGGGAACCTCTTTCCCTTGGCATTTTAACTGAGCTCGTGGTCGTCGCTATTTCGTATGCGGAGATCTCATTTCTTATTTCTCAGATCAACACTGGTGTTGTGGAACCAGTTTCTACTCGGCAGCCATTACTTACAAGTGTCTTCTCACAACCTCTGCAGGCGTAGCTTTTTTCCCAAATATATGGGAGTATTGTCGGAACAATTACAATAGTTGTACAAGTAAGTCAGCCGGAGTGTTTTACGCAGGGTTTGAGGACATTAGGTTTTTGAGAACGTTTAAGAAACGGGAAAAGTAATAAAAGAAACCAAGCTCTCGATTACGAATTTAAAAATATTTTTATTATATTAAATTTGTACTTCACTATTATTTATTGTTGTTTTAGATCAATACGCTCAGATTTCGTAAAACTGCATTGTGTTTAGTATACGGTATCAATTTCACCCAGAATCTAAAAAGTAAGTTGATAAATATTTCCACGTTCGCAGTTTTAGTTCTTGAGTAAGTTCAAAAGGTTCGACATAACTACGCGGGGTTTAATTCCTTAATTGTTTCATTTTATTTTCGTGGTGCTAGGTAAAGGAAAACCTATAGCTTCAAAAGAAATTACCTAATCCCCCAGTCTTTGCAATCAAAATGATGTCTCCCTGATAACTTTTTCTGTCTGTTTCTCCATCTAAGACGTAAAGTGCTTCATGGTTTGTGTTTTACAAGTAGGAACAGTTCTCTAATCTAATTTATTGACTGCAAGTTGTCTTGCTATTTCCACGAAGGCTCTTGTTGGTCGACCTGCAAAGAAAAACAAGAACAATAAGCTACAATTAATGATGCAACTGAAAAAAATCCGTTACAATAAATCAACGTTTGTATGTATGATCAGTTTGAGTCAATGCATGGTAACATAACAGGACTTAGAATTAACTCCTGTAAAAGAGTTTGTTATATTGTTAGTGTTGTAAGCAATGTTGATTGGTATTGTAATTTGTAAGTAGTGATAGATAGTGATGTAAGTAACTTTAGTTTTTTTTTTTTGTAAAACCGTACATAAAGTGTAGTATTGCAATAATAATAATAATGATAATAATAATGATAATAATAATAATAATAATAATAATAATAATAATAATAATAATAATAATAATAATAATAACAACAATAATAATAATGATAATAATAAACATAACCGGACTTAGTCAAAACTGTTTCGAAGAGAAGCGCGAACGGAGAATAACTCAACGTACAGAAAAACAGGTAGAAGCCTAATATGCTTTTGGGTGTTATGTCCGGCCAAACAACAAGAATGGGAATCAGGGGCGGATCTAGGAATTCCTGGAAGGGGGGTTTGTACACATTAAGAACTTTCGACGCCATGGGTATAGATGGTGAGCGCCGCAGGCGCGACCTTTCTGGGGGTCCGGGGTCATCCTCCCGATTTTACCCTCTAAAGCATTTCTGACACTTGAGAGACGTTTGTGAAGGCATGATATAAAATCTGGAGTTTCCATTTTTACCAACCAGAAAACTGAACAAAAATAATAATGCAGTCGTGAAATGAACATATATCTTCTCTAAACTTGACCATCAGTCAATTGGTGGAAGTGAAACAACTACGGATAAAACAAATTTATTCTATTATTTTTATGATGAGTCGAAAAAGATAGCAAAAAAAAGCTGCTCAAGGAAGGGGGGGGGGGTGGCGGTTGGAACCCCCTCAACCCCTCCCCTGAATCCGCCTCTGGGAATAAGCAAACGCAAAGTACCAGAACAGCCGGTGAGAGACAACTTCCAGTGGCTTGCTTCCCTCGCGTCTATGAAAATTTGTTCACAGGCTAATAAGTGATGAAAAAAGTCCTTTTTAAGTATATGTAGTTATAACGTCAGCTCAATTCCCATACACTGTAGCATATGCACGATTATTTCTTAATTTTGGAAACTGTCCAAATTATTTGTTAATTTGGCTGTCTAAATTGGAAATAATTGGGTGACAAAATTCCTTGGAATATTACTATTTATAAAATAAACGAGGTAGAACGCGCACTCTCATTGGTCGATAGGAAAGTTTGGACGAGAGTAGGTAACCACAGTTGTGACGTTCTGGATTCGCGCGTATTTTGGGGCACTTTTTTCCGTGTTTACATAGTCTTATCTAAACACTTGGGGGTGGGGGGGGNAACAGTTGTGCTAAACTTCTCCAAGCCCCCTCATGTTTAGATGAGGCTATGTAAACACGGTATGATAGATATAATGTGATATTAAGAAATAGAAAACATGTACCGTGTTTCTATCGAGTTTTAGTAGATTTCTACTAGTACACTGATGCAAATGCTGCAATCTGTTTGGCTGAGCTATACGTATACTATCAGCCATTAGAGTGCAGTGGCCGGAGGTCGTCTACGAATTGGCGACCTTTTTTTCGTTTTAACAAAGTTCTGAGGGAACATTTTGATGCAAAAGGATAAATTGATTCCTGAGAAGACTCAAAGAAAAACATTAAAGGTTTCTTGACTTTAAAAATCTTGAAATTATTGAAAAAAGTGATGAGCGCGCGCACACAACTTCAATTTCAAATGACAATTCAATCCGAGCGATCTTTCTAAGGCGCAAAGTTTAATAATATGTCGAGAAGTACTTGGAAACCGTTATTTGAAGTAAATTTCGGTTAGAATTCTACTAAAACAATTAGATTATTCGCTCTCGATTTCTATGAGGTGATAGAAATCATAGAAATCTCGAGTTCATAATCTAATTGTTAAATAGAAACGCAAGTGGAAGTTTGGGAGAACGAGAAATGCTGTGGGAACACAAGCCGCAGACGAGTGTTTCCACAGCTTTTTCGAATTCTCCCAAACTTTCACGAGTGTTTCTATAACACGATAGAAACGCGGAGAACATGTTTTCTATTTCTTTTAGAAAATACCGGGGCGAAAAAAAGGAAAACAACTTGTTAACTTTGATTATCAAAATATAAATTCTCTTTGCTCGCGCCATCATTACGTCAACAGTTCGTGCTAGTTCTGTGTTTCTATCGAGTTATAGAAACACGATTTTTAACCAATCAGCGCGAATATTTTCTCAGGACTGTTTTCTAAATGATGATATTGCTCAATCTGTATTGCGGCCAGTGGTGAAATGCAACAAGCCAACACTTTGTCAGGTTTACTTCGACTGAAAGTTTGTAAGAGTTTGAAGCGAAAACGTGAAAGACGTTTGTATAACAGAGATGAAGCAAGCGAAATTACGAGCTGATAAACAAACTAAGTGGATAATAATTGTTCAATTCTGTGAGGATATGCAGCGTGTAAGACTTAACTCTTAAGTGACTGAGTTAACTTTTGGCTTGAGACTGGAGGACGTCCGAACATAGAGACGGTAATAAGCGCCAGATTGGACAAACACGAACTGATTGTAACATATTGGTCCACATTACCTGACATGCCCTTGTTAAGATACGGAATAGCATTTGCGCTGTTGTCCATCACACCAGCGATGTCAAAATGTGCCCAGTGTTTAGCCTCGACAAACTCCTACAAAAAAAGAATTCAGTTTATGAAGAGTTTAAGTTCCTGGCGGGTCCACACCAGCCTTTAGGTTGCCGCAAACCGACCTGCCTCAACAAAAATTATATGTATGTACGTATGTAGTTCAGGTGCTGATCACCGCTGGAGCCAATATAGAACTCTACAATGAAGGAGCTGTTATCACGAATTACGTTGAGATACTACTCAGATCTTGAGTACATATGGAGTCTAATACAGGTCTGTTTCGTAGGCTAGCATGAAGCTAGCCCACTCATCAGTTAGTTTCCATATACACGGAAGCCTACGTATGTATGTAGGAACGTTTGACTGCTTCACCTCAAAGGAGTAGTTTGACATTTCGATAATGAGTGCAAAGTACCACAAAGTAAAGAACGTTGAATAAATTTAACACAGGCATTACTCCCCTGCAAAACAAGCTGTTTTACCAAACTGCCACGATTTCCTTTCTATTCTAAATTGTGAGAGGAACTGAGGCCTAAACAGTGCACTACACTCAGATGGACGGGTCCAATTCTAGGCTGCCTGACCGGGGACATTGTGTTGTTTTCTTGGCGAAGGGACTTCGCTCGCACAGTGCCTCTCTTCACCCAGTTTCGCGAAAATATGCTCTGATATTTGTCCGCGGACATAATCTGTTCGAATCTGTTCCGAGAAGCATAGCTCGAGGAAGCGCAGCTCGAGGAAAAGTGTGAGCTTCAAGGAACAGATAATGTCCAAGGACAAATATCCAGGCATATTTTCGCGTCAAATGGAGGCTATTGTGTTTAGTATCCTTCAAATGTTTATGGCAACACGCCTTATTTTAAAAATTGGGGAATGTCCAAGTGATATTCCTCAGTTTTAACAGGGGCAAATTCAGTCACATGACGCGTTTAGACCAATGGCGCGCGAGCGAAAATATTTGATGGATTATGAAAATAAATACCAGCGATTTTATGCTGGGGGTGACTGAGCGATAGACTTGTATCCCATCCGGGGAGTGGAAATCCTTGTAGTCGCTTCATGCTAATGTAACCGGAGACAAGCGCCAACCGGCTGATGGTTTACTTTACTCGAACGCAGAGCTCTGTTTAACGTGACGTTAAAAGCCAGTTTCATTTTCCTGGCATGATGTAATATTAACACTGATCCTAGAGCAGGAACCATAATATACGCCTAACACGCGGCTCAAACAAAGGATTTGGCCTACAATCCAATCTTGGTGGCTTTGCTAATGATTTAATCGATTTAAGGTCGTGTTCTATTGGGATTAACCGTTTCCAGCTGGTTGGGATTTTTCGTGTTGTATTGGGGTAACTGAAAACCGTTTTGGTTTGGTTGATCAAATTTTTCAACCGGCCTCAAACCAGGTTGAAACGGTTGGAAAAGCATTTGCGCGATTATGTCGCGTGATTGTAGCTCGCGTAAGGACTATTCTCAGGAGTTACTGCGTTTCAACCTAAAACGGTTGGAAAAGTGTTCTACTGAAAAACGTCAACCATATCATCCCAACCCGGTCGCAGTTGAAACGGTTGATCCCAATAGAGCACCACCTAAGAGTTGTTACCTTGAGAAAGGCTGCTGCAGTACACGACCCAGCTGACCTTCAAACCAAAATGGGAAGTATTTGATGTTAAAAACAGCAAAAAACGTAAGCAACTACGGTCTAGTTTTAGGCTCGTGTCATTACGTTTTATTTAGTCGCGCTATTATTTAGTAGATCTCTAAATTTTTCTACCCATCTAATTCGTTACGCCTCGAATCTTCTTTCACACACTACCAATTCATTAATACATACTATAATGTCCTATTAATGACGTCATTACAACTGAGACACGCATTTGAACACGCTCCATCTTGTTGAGTTCTGTTTCTCCTCGGCGCATTAACTCCATATTGCACGTCCACTTTCCTTTCTCTCCTTCCTCGCCATCTCCGATATGCTGTTATTCTCAAGTTTCCTGTCCCCGTCTCTTCACTCCAAATCCTCTCCCTCTTTTCTTCCACGTTCTCCCTATCGCCATCTCAGACTTCACTTACCTCTTCTTGCCTGTGTTTCTTAAATCAGCAACATCGGACTCTATCTGTTCAGTGTAGTGCTTGTAAAATGGCATACGCCACATTCTCTCCCCACAGTCAAACCCGGCCTAAACATAAACCAAACAAGAAAAACAGACTAAAAACTGGATCCTGGAATCAAGAGGGAGACATCCCCTTCTAATTGTGCAAAAAGACGGGAGTGAATCATCAGGGCCAACCCTTTGACCTCCCCAAAGATTATGATCTGAAATCAGTCAAGGTAGTGCTGCATGCATGTAACAAAACAGTAGTCCTTACCTGAAAAATACAATGCCACAATGTCGGTGAGTTGGTAAAGACGCCTGCTGCTCCCTGCCCCAAGGCGATATCTATCGCTCCTGTAATATAATAAGCATTTGCAACTAGCTTAATGATTGAATTAAATTGTAAATCACTACCCGAAAAATGATAGGATGACTGACATTCGATGGGTTCGGCTTAAACTGCAAACATTCTTATTCTCACAGTTTCACCTGACAATTCAGTACACGATAAAAATACGACATCGTGAGGAGAAACAATCTCATTACAAGCTATAGAGAACCCTGAAAACATGCGACTGTAGAGTCCTGAAACAACTATCTTTTTCGATCGGAAATTCAAACTTTCAATTGACCTGGTAAGAAAAGAATCACTAAAAATAAACAACCGGAATTATTAATTGTAGCCTTAGAAGTCATCTAAGTATAACGCGATTTGATCTGCTACGCTCGGCTGAACTGGGAAATTCCTGAGTGTAAAGAGAGCACGTTAAGAACCATGGAATAGTTACCGGTCAGTGTAGCAGCGTCGATGATGGCAAGAGGATTAAGTTTATTTGCATAACAAAGAGCGTCGGCGAGAATTAGTCTTCCCTCTGCATCTGTGTTGTCGATCTGCGAGAAAACTTTTATTAATTTTACCAATAAAAATAAGGCAGAAGAACGTGTTTAAGTCACAAAATAATAATAATAATAATAATAATAATAATAATAATAATAATAATGATAACAAATAATAATAATAATAATAACAGCTTGCAACAATTTCATAAAATACATCAGGAAAAAATTACAAAAAAACTTAAGCGATGACGACGGCGACCCCGAGGACAACGCCTGGTAAAAAACGAATTATATTTTACCTTCGAATTTCGCAATTGTCTAGATCATTTCAGTGCGTTTATTGGTCTCAGAACTGTTCAAGCTAAATATGTAACGCCAGCGTTCAATTTCAAATGAAAATACGAAAAATTGGCCGCCGTCGTTCGCGTTCTGCAAAACACGCAGAACTTAGTCATTTCATGTTGTTCTTGTGCAGAGGACGGCAGAGAAATGTACACAGATTTATAACGCACGTGCACAGCCATCATTAAACCTTTTGTTTCGTGACGTTCTTGTTGCCGTTGCCTTCGTGGTTTGCTAAGCTCTCTATTAATACGTCAGTGAAAACGACCTGACAGGTAGTCACTTAGTCCGTAATACAAACATAGAAAGTCTCTTTCATACTGGTTTTCACACCTTCCCAACAGCAAATGACAGGAGAATTTTACAACAAATCACGACAAGTTCCCTTGGGATGTTGCCTTTCAGCTTTAAGCGCATAACGTTTCTGCCCATACAGACTGTTTTATGTTTACAATACAGCGTGCTTGTCACTAACCTCAATAGTCTTTCCATTCATTGCAGTGACGACATCTCCAGGTTTGTTAGCACTTCCAGATGGCATATTCTCGCACAGTGGCACAAGAGCCGTGACATTGATTGGCACTTTAAGCCTTGCTATGGCTTCAAAAGCTGCGCTGACTGTAGCGGCTCCACCCATGTCACCTTTCATCAGTCCCATCCCAGCTGCTGGCTTGATGCTAATACCGCCACTAAAAATACAAACAAGCAATTGATGCTATCGTAAATTTAACAAATCGAAATGTGGTTTAGCATGGTCTGTACTCTTATCGACAAAGATACGCGTTATCACAGTGGTCAAAATGTTGTGGACTCACGAGGCGCAGCTGAGTGATGACGCGTATCGTCGATAAGAGTAGACCACGCTAAACCACATTTCGCCTTGTTTTTTGCCAAAATATCAACGTCAAAGAAAATGGTTTTTTCAGAGCGCGAGGTGGAAAAGGCATTGCGTGACACATTGACGCGAGTAGCGTTGTCTGGACTCTTATCGACAAGAACAAATTAGCCAATCAGATTGCGAGAATAGTAGCAATTGTGGTAAAAAACGATTTTGATTATCCCTATTTTTCTTTATATTTTGGACAGCACAAATTCCAAACTTTTTAAGTTGAACAGGATTCTCAATAAACTTTTACCAACCGTTGCATTTTTGCAGGAGACACGAACAGGGTAAAAGTAGATTGTTCTCCTCGTTGGATGGGATAACAGTCCCCTGATTGCAAGTCACCCCTACCATTTGTCCAGTTGCCAAAAGACCTTGCATGCAATTAGAAATGCAATGTTATATACTCTTGGATGGGGTGCTGGTCAGACTGAAGCCAGGCAAGCTTCAGGCCCGTGATCTGGATCAACACACCAACACACTGAACACATGGCCATGGTGCCTCCCATAATCAGCTCACATTCTACAGCTAAATATTCCTCTGTAAAATCACGTATCTGGGAAAATCTACAGGTACATGTAGGTAAAGAATAAGATAATCAGTTTATATTAATAGGTGAAGTCAATTTTAGAATCACATACCTGTCAAATGTTACACCTGCAAGATAAGAAGAGCTATGAGATATCAACAAACTAAACACAATGACCAGTCAACTATCTGTCAAACACTCCATACCATACAGTCAATAATCATCTAATATCACTACCACTAATAACGTCTGTAAACATACTAATAAAAAGCTGATAAGTGGCATCAGTTGAGTGGATGACAATACTCTCTCTGCACTATCTTAGTACAAATTATAGACTGGAAGTCACTATTAACATGTCAAAGGCACATGCCACTTGATCGAGCTTACACTGACCTTTTCCTACAAAAATTAAAGGTGGTGAATTGCTTTCCTTCGCACCAGAATACTTCATTTCCAAGAACACACTTGGTTCTCTTGAGCCCTTGCCAACACTAAGAAAAGCACCCATCTTTTGCTGCTCAGCCCAACTCTGGTCTCTTGTGTTAAGAAAAGAAGAGAGACATAAAGCAGAAGACAAGGAGATTATACTCTGTGCATACAAAATATAACCTGTCATAGTGGATAGTAAAAATTAACGTGTACATGCAAAAGGCCAGAGATGGGAGAAATGATCATAGTAGGAGAGCAAAGTAATTAAAGTGCTTGAAGGCACATTCAAAGCATATATTTCACAAGAAAATGAGATCACACCCTCCAATTATCACTTGCTTTTTATGTCCTCTGTGCTCCTGAATTATATTTATTATATAAATTATTATGAAGCTAATTTGCACAAAGAGCAATCAGTATTTAATTTATCCAGCCTGATATACCATCAGCGTGTTATCAATCAGACGCAACAGGAATGTAGAAAATGATAGTCCTATTACCACATGGAAAAACCTTATATTTTAACACTTAGCAACATATTATAAGTAGAACATTGTCGTACACGGTACCTAGCAAACACTTGCACATTTTCAATATCAGAGAGCCTTTGAGTGAGTGTTTCAGCAAAAATTGTTGGTGTCATAAGGTTTGATGGAGTTTCCATAAGCTCTCTGGCAAAATTTTGCGCTCCAGATAACAATAGCCCATCTTGCCAAAGTTTACGCCAGGTATGTAAATGAGTTTTCTCCTCATTACTGCAAAAATAAGTAAACAAATTACTAAAAATAGATTAATTGTTTATTGGGCAGTAGATTTACTAGGTTAAGTCTGTGTGAACGTCAAAATGGTACATACATGTACCGCCGCCTTATCCAGGTTTCCCTGGCATTAAGTGACTAGGAATATATCAGCCCTCCCCTGGATAGGATGTTATTCAATCACAGGGAAAGCACTGTAAGAGAGAGGCACTTTTTTTCACCAAGAACACATAGTGCAGTGAACTCAGCTGGTACAGCATTGTTTCTTAACATTCGCTCAGCTTGATGCAAATTTAAATGAAAGCCATTAACCTGATACTTACATGAGAGACCTTCACCCTAAATTACAGCCAGATAAGTTTTGCTTCATTTTTGCTTCATTCAACCAAATTTAAGATTTACAAAAATTTGGTTGCTTTATGGCTCTACCTGGTGAGGTTGGTGACCTAAAATTCAACCTAAATTTCTTTGGCTCGGGCAGTTTGGTTCATTTTTGGTCACTCTTTGGCTCTCTGTGCAGATTTAAGGCCTTAGTTGCACCCTATTTAGGTTCGTTAGAACTATAGAATTTTGTATGGATGAGATTGCATTGTTTCAAGTCTGCAGTGCTTAGAGAAGACAGATTAAATAACAATTGAGTTAACCAGATGCATAAATTTACCTCCGTAAATTACTTTCATTTACATGCTCATGAAGTCGAAGATCCACTTGTAATTTTTTGTCAGATTTCAGGGTGTCATAGCTAAACAGCGCAAGGCCAGCACCTTCAGCTGCCACTGTAAAAGAAGTGCAAGATTGTAGCATATAAGTTTACCTTTTATGTTAAATTCAATGCTTATAGTAATTTGTTCCTAACAGCACTAACAGTCAATAAATAAATTTCAAGTTTCTTTTAATTTGTAATTAGTACACATTGACTTTGACACATACTCATATAATGTTAGTCAAAATATTAGCGTACAAAATACTAGACAATCCAAGTCCAGGAAATGGAAGGTGCCGCTTAAGAGGGGTTCATGAGGAATTAGCATGAGCCTTCTACAAACTTCAATTTATTCAAGTACAAACAGGCTTTTATCTAATTAAGGCATGCAAATTAGACAATAAAAACGTTTGTTTGAATATTTTTATCAGTGGTCACTTTCTATTTCAGACTCTCATTTGTCACTGCCTTTCTAAACAAAGCCAAACTGTATGTATTACATTATATTTGGGAGGCCACCTAAGTTAATAGGGGAAAGGACAATAGAAAACCCTCATTAGGATGACCAAAACATGGCCGTAGCCACTTAATATACAGAGGTGGTTGGTTGATAGGGGTTTTATTTACAGTAGTTTACTGACATCAATTTCATTTAGTTTTTAAAAAAGACTATACCAAAGAGACACTATACCATAGAGTTGAAGAGTGGCTAAATGTACTATGTAACTATACAGGAGGTGATTACAACTGCAAGTTCTAAATGAGAGCTTTAAAATGTGGGGCCAAGGGGGCCTAATTATATTTAGGCATTTACAGTACATGTGTTGGAAAGGAATATACATGTACTTATTGACAGCCCCTGGTCCTCCAGGTTGGGGTTGGGCGGCGGGCTGATAACCCGCTCCCGGAAAAAGAAACATTACAGAAACTGAAACTAGAATTACCACTGTGCCCTATCGGGAAGCAGGGGTACAAGATGCTAACACCCGGTTGGAGCAACGTGCGAAGCAGAGAATGACACATAAACCACCGATGAAATTGGTGTTGCCAAAAGCGTGTGTGAAGATCGGGCAATGGAATGTAAGGACATTGTTTGAGACTGGTAAGTGTGCTCAGGTGATCAAAGAGATGCAAAGATATGGTATTAGTATTCTGGGAGTAGGTGAAATGAGATGGAGCTCTTGTGGGAAGTTGAGGATAACTACAGGAGAAACTGTGCTGTACTCAGGAATGGATGAAGGTGAAAATCATGAGAGAGGAGTTGGTTTCATTCTGTCTAAAGAAACTGCACAATGCCTGCTGGAATGGGAACCGGTGTCTGAGAGGATAATCAGACCCAGGTTCAACTCAAGGTGGCAGCAGGTCACCATCTTGTATTGCTATGCCCCAACAAATGAGGCAACAGAGGAGGCGAAGGACGATTTCTACGACCAGCTACAGATGGTTTTGGAGCAGGTGCCATGCAGAGATGTGAAGATCGTCATGGGGGATATAAATGCTAAGGTGGGGATGGACAATACAGGCAGAGAGGAGGTGATGGGTAAACATGGGGCAAGAGCTGAGATGAATGAAAATGGTGAGAGGTGGGCGGACTTTTTTCATGTAAAACACCTGGTAATCGGTGGAACTCTGTTACCCAATGAGGAGTGTTACAAGCGGACATGGAAGTCTCCTGACGGTGTTATTGTGAACCAGATCGATCACCTGGCTTTTAGCAGGAGATGGAGGAGTTCACTCCAGGACGTTCGCGTGTTGCGCGGGGCAGACAATGGGCTGGATCGGCCACACGTCGAGCATACCGGATGGACATGTAGTGAAGAGGGCACTGGAGTGGAACCCACAGGGAAGCGAAAGAGAGGGAGACCTCAGCACACCTGGCGACGTACAAGAATGGCAGAGTTGGAGAGGAAACATCTAGCGAGGAATGAGGCAAAGTGCACTGCACAAAATAGGGTTAGGTGGCGCGCTCTAGTTGAGGACCTATGTTCCATTACAACAGAAGAGGAATAAGGTAAGTAAGTAACTCAAAATTTTCATGTTCCCAGTAACACACCCCATCCTAGAGTTCCTCCTATCACCCACGGCATCGAACGCACGTTACTAACCTCTGATCACTACAAGTAGTTATGAATATTTTACATTTGTACGCTTTTGTTTTTCTTAGATTGGTTGATGACTTCGCTCCTAAAAGGTGCAAGAGCAAGTCCGCTTTTCTTCAATTTCTTTATATGTGTGAGAAGCATTGGCAAATTATTTAAGCCGAAAACCGGGATTTTTCATCTAATTTTGAACTCACGGCGGGTGTTTAAAAATTACTAATATTTTATGGCTATAAATTCTAATTTTAGAGCATTTTTTTCAAGACAGGTTTTATCTATGCGGTATAACTCCGAATCACTTGAGATAAAGGTTGTTATCACTGGAAATATTCTTTTTTTTTCAGGGATATTAAGTCTAGTTTAGGGCTTTTAATTACTGCACAAAAAATGCCAGCTTTATTTCAGGAAAATCACTACCTCGAAGCGTCAACAACTGCAAATAACCGAATAACCGAACCCAAAATTCGAAGCAAATCTTAGACCTTAGCATCCTGTTAAATAAAAAATCAATATTACAAGCTCACCTTTTAAATCCAGAGGCTGTAAATAAGGTTTTGTCCCTATTTTCTCATGAAAACTGTTATCATCGCTTCGAGAATGTTTATCACGTGACACAATAAACAAACATACTGTGCGGGTCTTGCAACAGACATCTTAGTTTTTATAAGATTTAACCATGTTTGAGTTTTCATATTGAGATAACTTGACTGCCTGGTAGAGAAGTTGATTCAATTATTTATAGTTCCAGTTAAAAAAATTTTTAAAGCCTGCAGACGTGCATTTAACACAGTCTTGTCCGAGATAATAGCTCGCTCATGTTTTTCACGCAATGAAACTAAGTGCGCAGGACACCCAACAAAACCAAGTTTTATTCTATAGTAGTTTGACTGCGTCTAAAGGTATCGGCTTCAATGTTAACCCATTAGCTGAGATAGATACTAGATATATGAACAACTTTTTTTTATGATACAATTATGCATTTCCGCTCGATGTTATGCTGTCACTTGCTTGAAAACGTGATATAAAAATTGTCAAATTAAGTAAAAACTCTCTTTAAATCATTAAATTTTCTGACTAAATAAATATCAAACAGTTTTATTTAATCGTATTTATCCATTTGTTTCACTGAGGCACTACTGGTGAGTGCTGTAACATGTCGGATGATTGTGTATAGTTCTTACCTCTACTGGCCGAAACCTTAGTATAGGGGCTCCTCCCAGGGGGTGGTACTCAGAGGAAGAGAAAATATCACTCAACAGATTTCCGTGCGCAAACACCGTGCACATAATACTGAATGGTACCGTCGTTGTCACATAGCTACGTCCGGTCCAATTTGATATCTGGGCCTAAACTGATTTAATCGACGAAACGAAAAGATAGAAAGCGAGACAGACAGACAGAAAGACAGCCGGTAAAAAATAAAATTATCCTACGAGATTCTTTTCGCCTGGACTTTTTCAGTTTAACTGTGGCTTATTAGGCAACCGTTGCGTTTTAGTCCAAGCAATATTAGATAAGAGACTATGAATCTTACAGCTTAGACAAAGTGACCGGATCTTGTTCACGTAAGGCTGTTTGCGATAAACTGTTACGTTGGTGACTTCAATGTTATAAAACAAACAAATATCCTTTACAACTGAGACAGAAAAGTTCTCTAACTTTTATCTCGCAACCAGATCACAGAGATTGTAGACATCATAACAGATAGGTTGTGTAATCTACAGTTCTTGTACGGGCACATTTGTGAGTTCATCGATTCTCACTTCATCTGCAGCAATCTGGAAGACGTTCGTGGCCTTTTGTTTCACCTC